CACGGCGGGCTGGGCGGTCTCATCGACGGGCTGGGCAGCGTGTTCGATGTGCTGCTGGCCAACGCCAGGCTGGTGCTGGGCGTGAGCGGCGCGGCCGTGCTGGCCATCGCCACGCTGGCCGTCAAGAGGGTAAGGCTGGCACCCACGGGAGCAGGGTCAGGATTGCTGCCTGGGTCTCCACTGTGGTGGGGAAAGATGTGCCACAAACCTGGCTGGCTGCTCCCGAGCTGGTCCCTTGCATTTGGCACAAACGCCCACCGGTGCTGGCAGCGGTGCTGTGGGCATGGAGCTGCCCATTCCCACCGTGAACAGCCCCATGCTCCATTTGCCTGGAGCAGCATGCACCTGGGATACAGTATCCCATCCAGAAAGGCACCTGGGGTTTAAGGCATATTTGGGCACTTGTTTTCCACTTAAAATCCACGGGAAGAAGATGTGCACTTTTGTGGCCCCCCAAACTGAGTGTTTTTCCAAGTGGAAGCCTCACATGGGGCTGTGTCCCCCCTTGTGTGCACCAGAGGGGCTGTTGTCACCTGTAATTCAGGGGAAACAAAGATAACGACTTATCCTTGTGGGTTTTCCTTCTCTCCAGCTGATTGACCGAGCCACCAGCCCTCGGGATGAAGGTGATCCCAAAGCTGAGCAGAAGACCCTGGAGGAGACCTGGCAGGACTTGGCCTTGATCAAGACTACACCAAAGCCCCCCAAGAAGCAGAGAAGGGAAGACCTCAGCGAGCCCCTGCTCTCCCCAGCTCAGCCGCTGGTGCCAGGTGAGGCTCAGGGTGTCCAGCTGGGAAGATCACCTTGCTGTGCTCTGGGCTGGCTGTGCCCTGCTCCACCACTCTGGGAGCTCTGTGTTATTTTTAGCTCGGTGTCCGGGAAGCAGACCCGATGGAGCCTGCCCTCCTGGGAGGCTCCTGAGCCATGGCCCCTTTTTAGGCAATGCCTGTGGAGACAGGAGCTCTGATAACACCCTGGGTGTCCTGGCCAGTGCAGCACGGCGGGGGCTGGCGGGGTTTGTCTCCTCTGGAGTGGTGTTGGCTGCCCTCATTTTCTGGGTCAGCTCTGCCTGCAGGAAGGTGCACTTGGGAGCTGCTGCAGACAAAGGCTGCCTTGTCCAGCTGCCTACAGAGACGGCATTTTTCCAAGTGGGAAAGTGGCCTGGCTCGGTGCAGGGCAGGTCCTGAGATACTGGACCTGGGGCAGGATCATTTGCAGGACTCTCATGAGGGGCAGCACTGATCTCTTCACTCTGGTGACCAGTAACAGGACCCGAGGGAATGGCTGGAGCTATGTCAGGGGAGGTTTAGGATATTAGGAAAAGTTTCTTCCCCCAGAGGGTGATGGGGCACTGAACAGGCTCCCCAGGGCCCTGGGGCTGACAGAGCTCAAGGAGCGTTTGGGCAACACTCTCAGGGACATGGTGGGATGAGCATCCTTGGCTGCAGCAGAAGCTGCTGCTGTGGGTTACAGATGATCTGCCCAGAGCTGTGACTTCTCCCTTCCCTTCTCACAGATCCCAGGGCATGCTCTGCCTCTGTGGGGGCTCCTCGGGTGAAGTCCAGCCCTCTGCGCTGCCTCACGCTGCAGGAGAAGCTCCTCTCACACCACAGCAGCCGTCTGGCCGTGCCCGAGATCCAGGTGTCCCTCGTCCCTCAGCTGGCCAGGAGCATCAGCACCCAACTGCAGAACTTCCTGCGGAGCAAGTGCCCAGAGCTGCCCTTCGGCCGCCTCTTCCTCAGCGGAGCCCTCCTGGACGGCCTGGAGGTCCTGGCAGCCGACCACATCCACCTCATGCTGCCCGTGGTCCTCGACGCCGGGCTCTGGAGCCTCATCCCGGGAGAGGACACCGTGGTGAGGAACCCCCAGTACTGGATGATCAAGAGGGTCGATCTGGGGTATTTCCCCCGTGGGTGCAGCCCCTGGGACAGGTTTATGGTGGGCCGGTACCTCTCCTCCAACGTGCTCAATGAGACCCTCCACAAGATGCTGGTGGCCTCCATCAACTGGCCTGCCATCGGCGGCCTGCTGGGATGTGTCATCCACCCCGTCGTGGCCTCCCGGGAGCTGAAGCTGGAGGTCAAACATGATCAGGTCGAGCTGAGCATCACCCTCTTCCCAGTGGTGGAAATGGAGGACAAGGTTCTTCTGGCTGTTCCTCCTGAGGGACTGGTGGAAAACCTCTGGCTCGAGAGCTTTTACAGGGCAGAGGTCTCGAAGGTGAAGGAGCTGGATGCCGGCGACTCCGGGGCTCGGCAGCGCTGCCTCCGCATCCTGAACGGTGTCTGCAGGAGCCACCCCACCCTGCACAAACTGGGGGGCAGCCCCGTGACCCACGTCATCCTGCACCTCAGTGACTCCGGCTCCGACTGGGCAGAGGGAAGCCTGGCTGACAGGTTCCAGCAGGTGCTCGAGGAGCTGGTGGCCTACCTGGAGAAAGGGGTCCTGCCTTCCTATTTCAACCCCAAAATCAACCTGTTCTCCGGGCTGTTGGAAGAGGAAATCGATGAGATGGGCTTTGTGCTCTACAGGGCCATGTCTGAGCCGGAGCTCCTGCTGGAGTGACCAGTGCGTCGGGAGCTCCCGGATGTGGGATGTTCCTCACCCGCCTGCTGATCCCTGCTGTGAGGGCTGCCATGCTTCTAGTTGACTAGTCAGTAAGAGGCAAAGTTCTTGCACTTTATGAGGAAAAAAATAAAAATGGTTCCTGTGTGAATAAAACGGGCCTGAGCAGAGGTGGGTGTTGGCAGAAGGAGCCTTTGGCTGGGAGGCTCTGCCAAACCCGGGGCGAGGGCAGCCCAAACCTGGAGTACCCACAGGTGAGTCCCGTGTGCTGGGAGCCAAGGGAAGCATGTTTACTCTCTGGTTCCCAGTGTCCTCTGCCTCTCCCAGCTCTCAGGCTCCCCTTGTGCTCCCAGACCAGCTGGAGCTGGAGAGCAGCTCCTTCCTGCTGCTGTGTCCTGCAGGCCCCTCAGGTGCAGCGCCCTGGGTGGGTCCTTTCACCAGCACTTGGTCTTACTGTGCCAGCACTTGGGACAGGGTGGCAGAGCCTCACCTGCCTGTAGGATATTGCCAATCCAAAATATGCCCTATGGATGACCTGGGTGGTTGTCTGGGCACTGGGTGGTACGGCCATAGCAAATGGGGCTGGGGGTTTATTCCTTGGAAACCCTTTCAGCTGCCAAAAGGAGCGAGCTCAGCTCTACCTCTTTGTTCCCCCCGAGGAAGGGGTTTGCTTCCAGCACAGAGCTGGGGCTTCATGGCTCTTTTCCCACGCAGTGTTTTGCTGGAAGATGTCCTGAAAAAGAGCTGCTGGCTCTGGGGAGGCTCCTGGTGTCAGTCCCTTGGAGGCTGCAGCAGGGCTGTGTCCCCTCCCCGGTGGGCACAGTGTCACTTCCAGTCTGTCTGGTCACCTTTTCACACATGTATTGCTGCTGTCTTGAGGTCCTTTTTCCCTGGAGCCCCACGATATGGGGTGGAGAAGCAGGGCAGGAATGATGCTGTAAGCAGAGTGCTTGCAAGAACTGAAGTGGTTTATGCTTTTTATTAAGAAAATATGTTTTGTTTGGGTATTTTGTTGGGGTTTTTTGGTTTTCTTTTTGAGTGGCTGCTAGTAGGGTTTGGTCTGGCTCTAGTCCCAGGGCAAAGGAATTTATTCTTATATTTAATGGGAGGAGCTGGCTTTGCACAAGGGTGGAGCTGGAGAAATCCTGTGGACTTCAGCGTGAGCGGCTGTTGTGGTTTAATTTTCTTTATAACTATCATCTTGTTTATGGGAGGAAAAAAACCTGCTTTTCCTCCCTGTCTGACGATTACTTTGTTCCTCCAAACCACTTCCCAGGTGTTAGTGATGAGAATAAACCTTCCCTGTGCACACTGGTGTCAGCTCTGGTTTGTCTCCTTTCCCGTGGTAAGGGCTGAAGTGATTCCTTGGCTGTGGTGACCTTCCCAGGAACCACCCAGGGCGTCCCCTCGCTGTGTGGAGAGCTTGGTGCTGGTCAAATCCCCTCCTGCAAGGTTTTCCTCCTCCTCTTCCAAACCCCTGGACCCCCAGAGTGCCTGGCTGCAGAGTGTGAGCTGTCTGGATGCTGAGCTAGTACCACTTTCCCAGGGCTCGGCTGAGCATTGGCCAGGGTTAGACCAGTAAAACTGGACCTGGCTGATGCCACCAGCGAGGTTTAACCTGCTCCCTGGGTCCTGCACAAGTGCTTCCCACTGCTGTTGCCATTCCAAGGTGGTTGCTGCTGTGCTTTATCACATTCCAAAGCTTCGTAATCCTGTTATTTTAGCCCACGGGTCTGTATTTTTAGGGCACAGCTGTTAGTGGTGGGAGTGAGGGGTTCAGGGAAATGCATCCTAAGTTCTCCTGAGTAACTCCATGGATTTAGGCCTGGTAGCAATGAGCTGCTGCAGGGTTTAAGGCTCTCTTGTCTCATGCAGACCTTCAAGTGAACCTGTGCTGGTGTGGTCTCTGCTGCCCTCCAGGTGCTCCAGCCTCCTGCCCACCCCATGTGCTGCCAGTTCCCAAAGGATTGACCCTGGGAACTGCTGTGTGCCCAGGTCCTGAGCAGGATCCTGAGCAGCAGAGCACACAGGAATCCTGCAGATCTCCTTCCTTTGATGTGCAGAGGAAGCCCCGACAGCGAGGGAAGAGACATCCTGGCTTCCCAGGGAGTTCAGCCTGAACTCCGAGCAGGAAAACAGAGCCTCCCTTCAGCTCAGCCAGCTCTGCCTGTCCTGGGGCAGCAGCACAGCAGCAGATGCAGCTGGTGAGATAAAACAACTTTTCCTACCCCTCTGCAGTTCTCTTCTAAATTACTGCAGGGAGTGTCTGCCAAGAAAGCTCCTGTATTGTTCCAGTGAGTGGAAAGAGCAAGATTTGGGTGGATGCTTTTGCAGTAAAAGCTTCACTGTTTTAAGTAGGAAGAAATAACAAGGCCAAGTTCAGGTGTCACCACAGGAAATTTAAAAATTAAATAGTATTTTAATAAGAAACTTGTTTGACAAAAATAGTTTTCATCAGCTAGCAGCATCACAAAGGCATGTCTCAAAGTTTGAGGAAGAACTCCCTTTCAAATCCAGTGAACATCTAAAATGAAGGCTTTTCCTGAGCACTGCAGCTGAGCTTCCCTCAGGACAAGCACCTGGCCCTCCTTCACTGGCAGGGACAGCCCCAGGTAAGGGTAACAGAAAAGGGGAATGGTGCTCTGGTAACATCAACTTAGAGGGGAACTTAAATTCCACACTGTGGAAAGCCAGGGACTGAGCAGAGCTCAGCAGCCCTGGTGTCTGTCCTCATGGCCCCAGTCCAGCTCTTCCTTGTGGAAATGCTGGTACAACCACCGGGATGGTGCAGGGGGGATGATTCAGCACAGTCCTCTCTGCAGAATCAGCATCCAAGTGCTTCCTTGAAATGTTTAGACTATCCCAATCTGCTCAGCAGAAGAGCAGCTGAAAACAAAAGCTGACACTGGTAGTAGAACCACTTTTCCAAGCTGGTGGAACCCTTGCTGTAATGGATGGCATCCCTTGGCAGGAGCAGCCTGCAACCAGCTCTTCCAAAAAACACTCAAGGGACTTGTTTCCAGACTCCAGTTCCCTGTGGCAGTAGATGCTCCTGTAGGAGCTCACAACCCTGGTCCTTTCAGGCTCTCAGGGGTCCATCCCAGCTCAGTGGTTCTGAGGGCAGTTTTTCCTATTGTGCCCAGGCTGGTGGCAAATGCTACAGGTCCGTGGTTTCTTGGCAGTGGATCCTGAGGAGAAACTGCCTGGTCTCTTGGCTTTGCTTCCCAACCCTCTTGAGTATTCACTGCTGCCAAAGTTGTTCAAAGAGACATCTCCAGAAGGACCTAGAGAGAAATGACTTGAATTTAAGCATCTTTGAAAATATAAGTAGGTGAGAAACAGAAGGTAAGTTCAAAATAGCAGGATTCTCAGATTATTCCTGAACCTGCACTTGCTTCAGACTTGTTTGAACAGTTAAATGTAACCCATTTGTCTTGCAGCATTAGAGACATGTGGGAACAGAACAGGGGAAGCTGCTCTGGTCTACAGCTAAAGCAGAAACAAAACATGCCAGAGGAAAACCTGAGATTTAAGTAGTTTTGAAAACTTGATTCTACCCCTTTAGGCCCACATTTCTAAGGAGGAGGAGGTCAGTGCTGAAGATCCCTCAAAGACCACATCTCCCCTTCTGTACTTGGTTACTGTCCCTTTGTCAGTGCTCTCTCTTTTGCATCCTCATTTTGTCATTATTTTTGTTTTCAGCATCTTCTCACACTCGGTTTGATCTCTGATCAAAGCTCCAGAATGACTTGGCCTTTCCCTACACTCCTAAACTAGGGCAGAGGGAGCAGCAGAGTTTCCCTGGCATGCCAGGGTGGGGTTTAAGATCTCCAGAAGTGGTGCCACTGCTTCGACTCTGCACCAAGTCGGTAACAGCTCTCACACAGCTGAGCACTGTAATTTGGGAGGACAAATTCCCAATCAGACTGTTGGAAAGAGTCCTGGGCTTTATCCAATGAGTCATGGACAGACAGATGGTCAAGTTCACTGCACACAGAAGCCAAGCATCCTGCTCAGAGATCAGATGTGTGCTGTGAGGATGTATCCTGCCAGCACTTGGAGAGGTAAGCCAGACTTTGTTGTTAAAAGCAACATTTGCTATAAAGCTGCTGACAGATGTTCTGAAGACAAACCTGACACCTTAAATATATGAAGTGCCACAAGAGCTGTGCAGCACAAGCATGTGTGAGAGGTATGTTCAGTTTACAGAATCCCAGAATAGCTGCAGTTGGAAGGGACCTCTGGAGATCATCCAACCCTCCTGTCAAGGCAGGGTCACCTAGAGCAGGTGACACAGGGATATGTCCAGGTGGGTTTGGAATGTCTGCAGAGAGGGAGACCCCATACCCTCCCTGGGCAGCTGTTCCAGTGCTCTGCCACCCTCAATGTAAAATCACCTTGAGGTAAAACTTTTTGTGTTTTAGTTTATGGCCATTGCTCCTTGTCCTGTTGCTGGGCACCACCAAAAAAAGTCTGGCACCATCCTCTTGGCACCTGCCTTTGAGATATCTATATGCATTAATGAGACCCTCTCTGTCTTCTTCAGACTAACCAGGCCCAGCTCCCGCAGTCTCTCCTCATCAGAGAGCTGCTCCAGACTCCTCATCATTTTCCTGGCTTCTGCTGGACCCTCTCCAGCAGCTTAAGAACATCCCCCAGCCTTTGTGTCCCACCCCAAGCCCGGCCTTACCTGGTGCCACGTTCTCATCTGCCCACTGGAAGAAGCCGCACTGCTGCTCCCGGGGCTTGGGGCAGGTGTGGAACTGCCTGCCCTTGTTGGGCCCGTCCTTCTGCACGGTGCGTGTCACGGCCGG